ATTCATGTTTGCAACAAAAATTGATCCTCATTTTGCTTGCAGGTGACCTAAATTCGTTAGCAGTCAACTATCATTGGTTCCAACTGTTGTTTGGTCACATTTGAATTGGCCAACCAACCTAACAGAGACATATAGCATCCACCAGGTAGCACATGTAAACAGACTGCCACAACAGGCTTTCCCTAAAATTCACCGGAGTTCACCGAATAAACTTCTAAGGCAAGGTTAATTGTTCAAATTTTGTCGCTTGGTAGATTTGAAGACTTTATCTCGACTGTGGTAAAGCGTAGGCGGCGTCCATGCGCGGGTTCGAATCCCACCGAAGCTACTGAACTGTTCACAATCGACATAAAATTATCGTTTGTTCCGATATTACATGTCTTGTCGCCGCGCTTGTCACATGGGAGATTGAGTGCTTGGTTGTGTTGTAATGGCATTCCGGAGGAGACAAATGAATAAAAACCGGATTCACGGAATTCAATTATTTTATCATGGGGAACACCAGTGAAACATTTCGTCTGATGGGATTTTACAAGATTCGAAAAATATCTAATTTTCCCACTTCGATCAATGGTTATTTTTTCCCCAGCTCAGTACTTCATGACACTCCCGTTTGATCCAATCTTAAAAATGCTGTCCCGTAGTGATCGAGCTCGGGTAATTTTGTACACCGAAAAGCATGGATTATCACACATGACAGATCCCATTGTTCGTACTGATAATAGTTTTATCAACAGTTGTAGTGTTTTAATTCCACAAGGCAGTGCTGGAGCGAGGAAAGTGATTTATCTAAAGAACAGCATCGGATAGGTGGTGCTGACGTAGTGGTTTAGTCGTTGTCACCAACGTGCTTCGGACCCTATACTCCGAGGTTCCAGCCTCGCTACCGCCACCCAACTTTGGTGGACGGCAGTTCTGCTGTGGTCCGGTTCCTATACCACGTTGTTCACCACGCTGGGCTTAGTTTGCTGGTTTCCACCACTGAACAGCAGGTCCTCGCGACTATGGGGTTCGCCCCATCTGCTATTCATCACACTCAAGTGTGTAATAAACAAATATGAGAAAAATTAACGATACTTGAAAGAGACAAAAACTATCAGGTTGTTTTGAAGTCACATAAACCGAGTGGTTTTCAGCCGGTTTCACATTACGCCCACGACGCACGTTACCCGCGGGGACCCCCTCCTACCAAAATGATCGATATGTATACTGACTACTCATAAGTAGTATCAAATGTCTTATTGAGTACAAAGTAGAACACAGGCGTACGCCTCGGCGGGGTTACGTAACCGGAATAAACAAATCAATGGGCCATTATTTAAAAATGGTAAAACATTTACCATACCAATTAGAAAAACCATTGGAAGGTGACCAAAATAAGGGGGGTCGAAGTTAGTTAGTAACGTCATGAGTCTCGGGAGGGGTTCTCACGGGTAACGTGCGCCGCGACCACAATGAATCATAGCCTCACACACATACTCTCGGGGAATTTTATTGGGTCTTAGACACCAGAAATGGAGTTCGTCTCAGGTGAACCCAAAACAGTGTATTGTTCCACTGAAAAATAGCCACCAATAATATCGCAGCACGTTAAACTGGTACTGGTTAAATGTGATGGAAATGTTTGTGACAACCAGCAAAGAGCACTGGACAGAGCTATTTTGTTCTGTTTGGGGGAACTCGTCTGCAATGCATACTTTTTATGTCCCTGTCAGGACTCGAACCGCGAACATTCGGGTTGGGACTACACGATCAACGGTCATTACCTTGTGCGAATGGCTCAATCAATTTTCAGTATCAAGCTTGGATTAGCCCATTTGATTGTTCAGATGCACCAGGCACTCTTGATGGTCTTGGGTGTGGTTAAATCTATATCAACGCACAGTCCAATACACGTTACGCAAGTATCTCCTGTTCCAGAACAAAGTTAAAACAACACATACACATGTAAACGTGCATAATTACATGTGATTATATTTCATTTTTACTACTAGCCGAAGAGAAATAATTTTCTAACTATTGGGAACTGTTTGATGTGTGTTGGCAAATCAAACCGAGCAATTACCTCGATATTTACAAGCGGCTCTCTCATATTCATCGATCGTGCTCACCGGATCACCTAACGCGTAGATCAGCACTCGGATCTAGAGGAACGAGGATGAAACGATACAAAAACAGACGTTAGTAAACCCGCGATCGTGGGTGATAAAACCAAATTGGGAGCATGCTGAAAATATTTAAATTAAAATTAAATTGCAAATGAAGTGGATAAAGAGACAATATTGGTTACGGGGTTTTTTGTTCTCGTGACGTTTACTACATAATGGTGTGTAATAGAAGGAGAAGTGATGTCTACAATGGTACAATGTCTACGTGTCACATAGTCGCACTCATTATAGAACGTCAACCGGGACTAGTTAACAAGCCCCAAAAGTTACTACCAGACTAACGTGGTTGGTTGCCACAGCAACAGCGGGCCTGACCTCCACCATCCCTTATACAACAGATTGACGCTTTGATACACATCTTCAAGGTAGTGATTTGGCCAAACTAATCAATGTCTCAATACCTGCTTACCTTACCGCCACTGGTTCCCTTGGAGGGGATAAACCGGCTCCGCAGTGGTCACAAAGTTTTGTATGTAAGTTTGCTACAACTGATGTCACCAGTGTCACTCGGCGTTTTGTCTCGAGGGCACAACCTTCGCCTCCGCATAGTCAAGTGCAGACGGTAGGGCAATAGAGTGTTGGCACACGGTTACAGGTGTCTCCGTAACACTTCATTTGTCATTTGGTAGATGTAGTACCAACCCCCTGTGGTTCATACATGCCTGTTTGTTGGGCAAGCTTCCTTCATGGCTGTTGAATCGGGTGTTAGATTTGGTTCGCCTATACAGAAATAGCCCGCTTGTTGAGCGGTTGGCCATGATGTGGTGGCAAACTCATACTCCAGCTTCGTGGAGCCACAGGTGCAAACTGAGTAGCTGATGGAGACGAAAGAGGAGGAGACGGCTCCCAAAGGGGACACTACAGCCTACCCACCCAGTCAAGTCAAGTCAAATCAAGAAAAGCTTTATGCACCCAAAGGGTGAATCTGCAGCAGTTTACTATTTTTACAGTGGATAGATAAAACAATCGCAAACAAAAAAAATACAGTATAAGAAATTCGACACTTTAGTAAATGAGAGAAAACATAGGGCCAGAGTTTTTCCCTAAGGTGGGTGAGAATATTCTGACGATTTACTAGTAACCGAGCTAGACATGGAATTACACTATTTTGCTATGTGCAATTCCGCGCAGGGAGAAGTTGATATTCGGAACGAGTTCGGAAATTTGACAGGACTTTCGCGATCTCTTGGTGTAGACAATGTCATTGATCACGTGTTATCCCGTCAATGAATGTATCCAAAGCGTCGAGATGCTTGGAAATAAAGAATTCAACTAAAAATACTTTATCAACTCTACTGTTGCGGGACAACAGTTTAAGTGATCTTGAAAATGAAGTGAAGTCTTTTGCTTCCTGTGCGGGGATAAAAATCGGGGACCAGTGCAGCCAGTGTGGAAGAATGCAGGCAATCACAAATTTAAGAATAAGACCATGTGTTACGGCCAGTTTACTGAACCTGTAAGCATAGGCGGACAGTTTTCGAACTTTTGTGAAAATGTTGACGACATGCGCAGAGCAGGGTAAGGGTGACACCAAGGTATTTAATAGATACAGATTTGGGAATACTTTGATTGTTAACTCTAAGATCAGGGAGATTAGTAACTAATGAAAGATAGCGGGGACCAGACGTTGATTCACTCACATTTTCCGGTTTCGCTTTCAGCGCTGTCAACAAATTATCGTCAAAATGTAACGCGTCATCGGTGATCACGACCAAGACTTGATTGCACACCATATTTGCACGATCTGGTCGTTCGCCGACGGTGAGCTGAAACGAACGAACGCACGCACGCACGCATGCATGCACACACACATTGTCACAACAATAAGTGACGAGTCACGTGACAGCAAACACTTGTTATGCAATTCAATTCTCATCTGCAGCTCGGGGAGTGAATTTTGAGACAAAAAAACCATCGAAGAATCAATTGTGTATCAGATGTTGTCCGTTAGATGAGTATAACCTCAGCCAACTCAAGACTAAGACCGATTTTCAGAGTTTTTATAATGAATAATATATGAATGACTGGACAAAATAGTGTTTATGGAGTTTTCGGCCAACCAACGAACGCTCTCATCGGAACAAGGGAACCGTTGTTTTTGTCACAGAACGAGATTTCACAAAAAGAAAACGTCTCTTGATTAACAAAAGCTCCTTTTATTTACTAATCCATCAAAGGTTTTACCACATCAAATATCCTTACAAATATTCTATTACTGATTAAGCTGCAATCTACGCGAAAATATTACTGTGGTCTTCGATCGGTCGTGCGAAATAAATCCATTTTCTCGCCGGAAACTAATAGAAGTGGACGTAAGCTTTCATATTTCCATCACCTTGTGCACTAAGAATTAGGTCTTCAGTTTCAGTTTTTACAATCGTTTGGACTATGATGTTGAGAGCAGAGTCACAGAGAAGATAGCGAATTCACATGGATTAAGATGACGATGATAAGGAGTAGATGCACGAACCTCATTGTTTGTGGCACTCAACCATACCAATCAGTGCCTCTAATCACCGGTTACCATGATCATGGGGTCCCAATCCAGTGAGCCTAACAGACCTCATGTGAACAAGTTATCTCATTAGAGTATTCGTGTTTGACCACGCATGTCCTTCGCTCATCCAATTCCTGCCTCAGCAAATATTGCACTTCGTGGCAACCTATTTAGGGACACACGCAGCACATGCCACTTGATGTTTTTGAGCAGAAACAAGGTCAGGTATACCAGTTCTGTTTAGACCAAAAAAAAGTCTGTCACACACACAACAAAAACGACACTTATTAAACTAAATAAGGGAAGAACAAAACCCACACATACTGAGGGGTATTCCAACGTACGAGAGACACCGGTTTGCACGTGAAACGGACTAAACATTTCGACCATTCTGTCGTTTGGTCAACAAGTTTGTGTGTGTTTTCTTTTTCATAGCGGACATATCAAGGTGAATTGCTAATTGCCTAATCCATTTGTCCTGACTGTTCAATCAGAAATTTCCTTCTACAAAACATTCCTCAAAGACGGAGGAACAATAGAGAGAGAGAGATAGAAAGAGGACAAACGTAGAACCAAATTTCAAGAATGAGAGGCCACGGCCGTACAAAGGTTGCCCAAGAGCAGGAGGAGACGGAACCCGCACAGCCCAGTCCTCCCATTCTGATTCACAATGCATTTAAATACAATTAAACTATGATTGTTTACTACCATTTACATATGAGAAATAATGTGTCCCTTTGCGAAATCAGAATGTAAGCTCTCTCTCTCTCTCTTCCCGTCTGCAAAATGTGCCCGGAGCGAAAGCGACAAATTGTATTGAATACAAAGTAAGTGTAACAGTGAATTAACAAATTCACACACAACGGGGGGGGGGACGGAAAATGATGACAGGGTGCGCGGAGCAAGCGTTTCTCC